GTCCCCTTATGCCATAGATTGTACATCTCAATTGTCAGTAGAAACCACATTTGTTTAAGCAAGTCAGCCATATCAGCTCTGTTTTTTTAAAAGGCAATAAATGAGGCTGAATGTACTGTTTCGGTGCCAGACAAGGCTCCGCTGATAGCCAGTGGTAAGGATTCACTCCATGGTGCTGAAAAGAAAGCTCTGCTGCTGGGACAGCTTTATGTAGGCCCTAACAGTTTGTGGGCACCGTTTGTCACTGTTATAGTGCAATTTAAATGTATTGTTTAAGAAGTTGTTTTGAAGTGGCTTTGCTGGCATACATAAAACATTTTGGGGGGAGTTTGCCCCACCAAGATTTACATGCTAAAATTGCCACTGGTTAGGTGTCCTGTTCTTCTGAACTCTATGTCCAGATTTTTTGGAAACACACTCAAATGTCTGTGTGAAAAGTGTTAATTTTATGCCTGTCTTGAACATGTTTCCTGTGTGTTGTAGACAGCGGTTCCAATTATGTCAACACGGTGAATGTTGTTGATTAAGTGTTCTGGAGGCCAATGTGCGGTCGGTGCTGTTTAAGATTGTTTATTTCAAGAGCATGGCATTTGCAGTGACACATGGACAGTGACACATTCAATACCGCCTTGCACACTCTTGCCTGCATCTAGCTGATCTAGGGTGTAATCATTAGTCCAACAGTTGCAAACAAGAGTTTCTATTGGATAAATTCAGGTATGTTTATCCCTATTTCGTTCCGTTTAAGAAACGTTTTTCAACAGAATCGGGGGAATGAATACACCCCTGATCACGCGTAAACACAGTTCACTTTCATAGCAGCCATGTTGTATTCCTTCTCGCATCTACGCGCTCTCCTCCTCTCACATTTTCCCTTCGCAATACACAACACATCAGCTGTATGTGACCAGGCGAAAAAAGCTTTCCAAACCATATCATATCCCCTACATCGTTGTCACCATATTAGCTAAAGTAACATCATAGTCAACATAGCTAATAGAACTAATGCGTTATTAAACCCATTACAATCATGAAGTAACATTACAGTGTAGTCATTAAGCAATAAATTAGTAAAACCACAAGCTTACTTTGACTTGGAAGAGTTCCAGTGTTGGATAGTCATACCCAGCTAGCTAACATAGCATCCCTCTGTTTGAGCAGGGTGTTTGAGTAGGTTAAACTAGCTAGATGTATTTGCTAGCTAAGTAAGTGAACCTGAAAAAAAACTCTCTCTCGCGTGTCTTCATTTTGGAAGAAATTGATTTGTTCAAAACTGTTCAACTATTGTCTTTCTCTCTCTTTGAGTCAACTACTCACCACATTTTATGCACTGCAGTGCTAGCTAGCTGTAGCTTATGCTTTCAGCACTAGATTCATTCTCTGATCCTTTGATTGGGTGGACAACGTCAATTCCTGCTGCTAGAGCTTTGATAGGTTGGAGGACGTCCTCTGGAAGTTGTCATAATTACTGTGTAAGTCTATGGAAGGGGGTGAATGTTTTATGAAATTCACTAGAGGATTTGAAAGGGGGGTGTCCTGCTGGTCCAGTTCTGTGGCCTTCCGTATCCTTCTGGTCCAGTTCTCTGGCCTCCCTATCCTGCTGGTCCAGTTCTCTGGCCTCCGTATCCTGCTGGTCCTCTCAGAGGAGCTGGACTTCAGCCACGGTGAAGGGTGGAAGTTATCCAACACGGGACTGCTCCACTCATACTCACTTAATCTCTCCTAATTTCGTCTGCCAAAGTAGTTAACTAGGTGTTGTTTACAGTTTGACCCATCAAGTTTTCAAAAAGCTTCAGAATACGTTATTTTAAAGGAAATGTCAAAAAGTCCCAACATTGAAGTTCCATTTCTTGTCCAAAATGTAATGGGTAATACATTTTTAATGTGACTGATTGACCCCTTAGTAAGCAAAAAGTCACATCGGTAATGCGGAACCGATCCTTATAAACACTGGGTAGAGTATCGAATTGACAGAACCACAACTGGACAGTGACTAAACAGTAAACAACTACAGAAGCAGACATAACCCAAAGCATGGCAACACAGAAACATCAGGATGAACACAACAAGGGGTGTATCCCAGAGCATCCTTCCTTCCTCCAGGATGAACACAAGGGGTGTATCCCAGAGCATCCTTCCTTCCTCCAGGATGACCACAACAAGGGGTGTATCCCAGAGCATCCTTCCTTCCTCCAGGATGACCACAACAAGGGGTGTATCCCAGAGCATCCTTCCTTCCTCCAGGATGAACACAACAAGGGGTGTATCCCAGAGCATCCTTCCTTCCTCCAGGATGAACACAACAAGGGGTGTATCCCAGAGCATCCTTCCTTCCTCCAGGATGAACACAACAAGGGGTGTATCCCAGAGCATCCTTCCTTCCTCCAGGATGACCACAACAAGGGGTGTATCCCAGAGCATCCTTCCTTCCTCCAGGATGACCACAACAAGGGGTGTATCCCAGAGCATCCTTCCTTCCTCCAGGATGAACACAACAAGGGAGGAAAAACACTGGCTTCTTCTTCCATGAGAGAAACAGACAGTGGAAATGTACAGGTTTAAGGCTCATACGGCGCATAGTACACATACCCAAAAAAACGACTTAAGTAGTACTTGAAAGTATTTTTACCAAAGTACTTTACACCACTGTAGAGCGGTAAAGGGTGGTACACACAGGACAGTCCTTAATCAACATTTACATTTACATTTTAGTCATTTAGCAGACGCTCTTATCCAGAGCGACTTACAGTTAGTGAATACATATTTTTTTTATACTGGCCCCCCGTGGGAATCGAACCCACAACCCTGGCGTTGCAAACGCCATGCTCTATCAACTGAGCTACATCCCTGCCGGCCATTCCCTCCCCTACCCTGGACGACGCTGGGCCAATTGTGCGCCGCCCATGAGTCTCCCGGTCGCGGCCGGCTGCGACAGAGCCTCAAATATGTAACATCAGTAACTCTCAAGCTGAAAGTTGGTTATGGAGTTATATTAGTGCCACCAAAAATGGAATCTGAATTTACTACAACCCACTAGAATCGATAGTTAAATGGAGTTAACGGCATTGGTTCTTGTGTGCTGTAGTTTAATGAAGACAACAGCCAGGGACTGAGTTTTTATTTTGAGTGCTTTGCTCAGAGACATAGCTAACCGGGGTAAGGGGGGGGGGGGATTAACAGCATTGACTCATCAGTGGTGTGGTCTTCTTGAGATGTCTGCAGACAACATAAAAATGACCACATGCAAAGGTATCAGAGACCAGGGTTGTATTCATTAGTGCACACCGTAGCAAACCATAGCAAAACGTTTCGAAAGAAAAAACGGTTTGGTTTCTAGTGAATACACCTCATGTATAGGCCATAGAGACCCAAAATAATACTAATGTTCTAGTTAATTCTGTGGTGTAGCCTAGAGTATGTCTGTGACTGAGTATGTGTGAGTCTAAAAGGAAGAAGTAAATGTATGTACAAATCAAGTGCAAAAAAAATAAACTATTTAGGCCGTAGTTCACACCGTGTAATGCATTGGTACTCAACTAATATTTGAGAAGGTCCAGTGACACACATTTCCTCGGTGACAAAGGTCCGGAGTGACATCGTCCTTTATCGGCGCTGTGGTACAGCGTAGCAACAAACATAGTCGTCTACGACTTAGGAAACATGTTGTTATAGAAAATGTACATTAAAAACATTAAATGAGACTAAGAACTTGAATTGATTACTTATTTAGAATGTAAACGTGCAACATTGCAGAAGAACAAAAGTGGTTGCATAATTGTCTGCAAAAAGTGCACTCTGAACCATTGTACAATGGCCTTCAATTAACTTGTTCATTTTTATTATTCTTATAAAATAAAGTGCATGTTATCTGGAGAACAAAGGAGAGTTGAACAAAAATAATAATCTGAATGCACAGAACGTCACTGTGGGCCATGCAATACTCATGTATAAGTCACTCTGGGCCTTGCCATTGCATCAATGACAGAGAGAAATGACACTTTGTCTCCTGCCAATGTGTTGAACTTTAGCACAAATGGTGTGAGAGGAACTGTGAGACACTGGTGCAGGATATGGACATCCTCTCCTCGTGTGTGTGCGCTTCTAGATTTGTTACGCCCAACAGCTCCTCACAGAATTCCTTTGTTTCGTTACAAAATCTGACAAGCACCAGAAGCTGGGCATTATCAGTGTTATCTGTTGATTCATCCACAGCTAATGAAATGCATGATGCATTCTGAATGGCCTCGTCAAGTTGTGAAGTTAAATCTTCAGCTAATATACTTCAGTTCTCCTCATTGCTGTGGAATCTGACAGTGGGATCGGTTTGATCTTTTCCCTGCGGAGTTAAAGACACCGCTGCACCCGTTAGATTTATTAAAAAGCTGTCTAAAAACAATTGATTGACTTTTATATAACAATATGCAATGTTGTCCGGTCTGGATTGACCCTTCTCTGGGTCCGGACCAGGACCGCCAGTTGAGTTTGGCTGGTGTAGTGCATGGACTACAGACACTGTTGTTGGTATGAGTGGGTAACATGTGTCTATATCTGAATAAGCATGACTGACAAAAACAAACAAATATCGCAATATTGGGGCTACATAACTTTATTTAAAGCATCACAAACTGCAGTGAAAAACAAATAACCATAAATATTTCAGCTGACCAGAAACTGCTGTACTGTAAATCTAGCCTTACACTGCCCTCTAGTGCTCAACAGATGAGAAACACAACAATAAAATACTTTATAAAAAGGGGTTTAACAACAGTTCGTCCATTACCTAACCCAAGGGTACTTGAACAAAGTAAAACTCATATTGACACATGATTTCTACCAGCACCCAATACAGTCTGCATGCTCATCTGGTCTCACAAGTTCCCAATGCTTTAGAGCAGTGACCAGGGAAACTGCAGAAGATGGCGCGGCCGTTTGGAACTGATGTTATGCTCACTGTGGTCAGTAAAGACGTCACTTAGATGAGAAGAAAAGCTGCACTCATCCCAACAGGCAAAACTGGTTGAAAATATGTCAATGGCATCATTCCAACTAGTTTCTGGTTGTCACAACGTCATTTCAACTAATTTCTGTTGTCACAACGTCATTCAACTAGTTTATGGTTGTCACAACGTCCTTACAACTAGTTTCTGGTTGTCACAACGTCCTTACAACTAGTTTCTGTTGTCACAATGTCATTACAACTAGTTTCTGGTTGTCACAACGTCATTTCAACTACTTTCTGTTGTCACAACGTCATTCCAACTAGTTTCTGGTTGTCACAATGTCCTTACAACTAGCTTCTGTTGTAACAACGTAATTTCAACAAGTTTCTGTTGTAACAACGTCATTAAACCAAGTTTTGCCCACTGGGATTGTTCCAATGGAATTAATTGAATAACCAAGTAAAGAGTTAGAGAGCTCATGGCAGCTTTTATAGTAACGCGCGGCACTACAAGCTGTTTGCTTTAGTGATGAAGCTCTCCATCATGTCCTTCAACTTCTGAATGTCCACCTCGTCCTCCCGGAAGGCTTCCGTGTACACCCTGTCTACTCGCTTGTGTTGATCCTCCAAGAATTTCTGGAAATGATCAAAATGTGAAATTCAGGCTCAGACAGTCATTGTCAAATCAAGTTGTTATTGTAAAAGGGAATATCATGGCAATGGACAAAATACATTCATAAATAAAGGCGAGATGTGCACGAGGCCTGTTGCTTTGTGAACGACAGGTTAGAGGCAATATGGAGACTGACCTCCACAATGGACAGGTGGTTGGCAGCCGTGGTGAACACACTGGCAAGGTTGTGAACCACAGTCCGCCGCTCCTCATTGGTTTCTTGCAGGACAAGATGGTACCTGTGGAGTACAATGACATAAATACTGTGGTGGGGGGAGGTCTATTTTTAGCTGTGAACAAACTTCATGTGGTTCTGAAATAATTGTTAAGCCCGGAACATACCATACGCAAATATTGTAGCATTGTCCGACCCAGAACGGCTCATAGGGCAGGAGCATATACCAAATCAAATCAAATTTTATTTGCCACATACGCCGAATACAACAGGTGTAGACATTACCGTGAAATGCTTACTTACAGCCCTTAACCAACAAAACATTTATTTTTTAATAAAAAAGTAAAATAAAACAACAACAAAAAAGTGTTGAGAATTTTTTTTTGCAGAAATAAAATTAAAAAAGTAACTCTCCTGAGTGGCGCAGTGGTCTAAGGCACTGCATCGCAGTGCTAACTGTGCCACTAGAGATCCTGGTTCGAATCCAGGCTCTGTCGCAGCCGGCCGCGACCGGGAGACTCATGGGCGGCGCACAATTGGCCCAGCGTCGTCCAGGGTAGGGGAGGGAATGGCCGGCAGGGATGTAGCTCAGTTGATAGAGCATGGCGTTTGCAACGCCAGGGTTGTGGGTTCAATTCCCATGGGGGGCCAGTATAAAATAAAAAAAATATGTATTCACTAACTGTAAGTCGCTCTGGATAAGAGCGTCTGCTAAATGACTAAAATGTAAATGTAAAATGTAAAATAAAATAACAGTAGGGAGGCTATATATACAGGGGGGGTACCGGTGCAGAGTCAATGTGCGGGGGCACCGGCTAGTTGAGGTAATATGTACATGTGGGTAGAGTTAAAGTGACTATGCATAAATAATTACCAGAGTAGCAGCAGTGTAAAAATATATGGTGGGGGGGCAGTGCAAATAGTCCGGGTAGCCATGATTAGCTGTTCAGGAGTCTTATGGCTTGGGGTAGAAGCTGTTGAGAAGCCTTTTGGACCTAGACTTGGTGCTCCGGTACCACTTGCCGTGCGGTACCAGAGAGAACAGTCTATGACTAGGGTGGCTGGAGTCTTTGACAATTTTGAGGGCCTTCCTCTGACACCGCCTGGTATAGAGGTCCTGGATGGCAGGAAGCTTGGCCCCAGTGATGTACTGGGCTGTACACACTACCCTCTGTAGTGCCTTGTTGTCAGATGCCAAGCAGTTGCCATACCAGGAAGTGATGCAACAAGTCAGGATGCTCTCGATGGTGCAGCTGTAGAACTTTTTGAGGATATGAGGACCCATGCCAAATCTTTTCAGTCTCCTGAGGGGGAATAGGCTTTGTCGTGCCCTCTTCACGACTGTCTTGGTGTGTTTGGACCATGATAGTTCGTTGGTGATGTGGACACCAGGAACTTGAGGCTCTCAACCTGTTCCACTACAGCCCCGTCGATGAGAATGGGGGCGTGCTCAGTCCTCTTTTTTTTCCTGTAGACCACAATCATCTCCTTTGTCTTGGTCACATTGAGGGAGAGGTTGTTATCCTGGCACCACACGGCCAGGTCTCTGACCTCCCTATAGGCTTGTCATCGTTGTCGGTGATCAGGCCTACCACTGTTGTGTCGTCGGCAAACGTAATGATGGTGTTGGAGTCGTGCCTGGCCATGCAGTCATGGGTGAACAGGGAGTACAGGAGGGAACTGAGCACGCACCCCTGAGGGGCCCCCGTGTTGAGGATCAGCGTGGCAGATGTGTTGTTACCTACCCTTACCAACTGGGGGCGGCCCGTCAGGAAGTCAGGATCCAGTTGCAGAGGGAGGTGTTTAGTCCCAGGATCCTTAGCTTAGTGATGAGCTTTGAGGGCACTATGGTGTTGAATGCTGAGCTGTAGTCAATGAATAGCATTCTCACGTAGGTGTTCCTTTTGTCCAGGTGGGGAAGGGCAGTGTGGAGTGCAATAGAGATTGCATCATCTGTGGATCTGTTGGGGCGGTATGCAAATTGGAGTGGGTCTAGGGTTTCTGGGATAATGGTGTTGATGTGAGCCATGACCAGCCTTTCTAAGCACTTCATGGCTACAGACGTGAGTGCTACAGGTCTGTAGTCATTTAGTCAGGTTACCTTAGTGTTCTTGGGCACAGGGACTATGGTGGTCTGCTTGAAACATGTTGGTATTACAGACTCAGTCAGGGACAGGTTGAAAATGTCAGTGAAGACACTTGCCAGTTGGTCAGTGCATGCTCGGAGTACACGTCCTGGTAATCCGTCTGGCCCTGCGGGCTTGTGAATGTTGACCTGCTTAAAAGTCTTACTCACATCGGCTACGGAGAGCGTGATCACATAGTCATCCGGAAAAGCTGGTGCTCTCATGCATACTTCAGTGTTGCTTGCCTCGAAGCGAGCATAGAAGTGGTTTAGCTTGTCTGTTAGGCTAGTGTCACTGGGCAGCTCGCGGCTGTGCTTCCCTTTGTAGTCTGTAATAGTTTTCAAGCCCTGCCATATCCGTTGAGTGCCTGAGCCGGTGTAGTACGATTCAATCTTAGTCCTGTATTGACTCTTTGTCTGTTTGATGGTTCATCGGAGGCCATAGCGGGATTTCTTATAAACGTCCGGGTTAGAGTCCCGCTCCTTGAACGCGGCAGTTCTACCCTTTAGCTCAGTGCGGATGTTGCCTGTAATCCATGGCTTCTGGTTGGGGTATGTACGTACGGTCACTGTGGGGACGACGTCATCGATGCACTTATTGATGAAGCCAGTGAGTGATGTGGTGTACTCCTCAATGCTATCTGAAGAATCCAGGAACATGTTCCAGTCTGTGCTAGCAAAACAGTCCTGTAGCTTAACATCTGCGTCATCTGACCGCTTTTTCCATTAACCGAGTCACTGGTGCTTCCTGCTTTAGTTTTTGCTTATAAGCATGAATCAGGAGGATAGAGTTATGGTCAGATTTGCCAAATGGAGGGCGAGGGAGAGCTTTGTATGTGTCTCTGTGTGTGGAGTAAAGGTGGTCTAGAGTTTTTTTACCTCTGGTTGCACATTTAACATGCTGGTACAAATTAGGTAGAACGGATTTAAGTTTCCCTGCATTAAAGTCCCCGGCCACTAGGAGCACTGCCTCTGGATGAGCGTTTTCCTGTTTACTTATGGCCTTATACAGCTCATTGAGTGCAGTCTTAATGCCAGCATTGGTTTGTGGTGGTAAATAGACAGCTATGAAAAATATAGATGAAAACTCTCTTGGTAAAGAGTGTGGTCTACAGCTTATCATAAGATACTCTACCTCAGGCGAGCAAAACCTCGAGACTTCCTTAGTATTTGATTTTGTGCACCAGCTGTTGTTTACAAATATACACAGACCGCCACCCCTTGTCTTACCGGAGTCAGCTGTTCTATCCTGCCGATGTAGCGTATATCCCGTCAGCTGAATGTTGTCCATGTCGTCGTTCAGCCACGACTCGGTGAAACATAAGATATTACAGTTTTTAATGTCCCGTTGGTGGGATAACCGTAATCTTAGGTTATCTAATTTATTTTCAAATGATTGAACATTGGCTAATAGGATTAATGGAAGAGGCAGTTTACTTGCTCACCGTCGGATCCTTACAAGGCACCCCGAACTACGTCCATGATATCTCTGTCTCTTTCTCCTGCGAATGACAGGGATTTGGGCCTTGTCGGGTGTCTGTAGGATATCCTTCGTGTCCGACTCGTTGAAGAAAAAATCTTCATCCAATACGAGGTGAGTAATCGCTGTCCTGATATCCAGAAGCTCTTTTTGGTTATAAGAGACGATGGCAGAAACTAGCCGGTGCCCCCGCACATTGACTCTGCACCGGTACCCCCCTGTATATAGCCTCCCTACTGTTATTTTATTTTACTGCTGCTCTTTAGTCATTTGCTTTTATTTTTTTTGCTTACCACTTTTTTTTTTTTTTTTTTTTACTTTGCATTGTTGGTTAAGGGCTTGTAAGTAAGCATTTCACTGTAATGTCTACACCTGTTGTATTCGGCGCATGTGGCAAATACAATTTGATTTGATTTGATCATTATGTACAGAATAAATTACAAATAATGCGAAAAAACACACATAATAGTACAATTAGTTAGAGGGCTGTAAAACGGCAGCCATTTTCTCCGGCGCCAGTGTGTAGAAATCCTGTTTCTGTAGTGTGTGCCAGCTTGATGTAAAAGTACACCCCCTTGACAGGACGCTAGTCAACCCCCAATCCATCTTTTTAATGCGGAGTGTCTGCCTTTGATGATGTCACTGCGCTCCTGCGTAAGTATGTAAATCACGGAACCATGAACACATCAAGCGAAGGGACTTGTAACTTTAGCTTGTATCTTTAGCCCTGTACCTCTTACCATAGTGAAGCGGGTCGAGAGCTTCAAGTTCCTCTGGATCCAAATGACTAAGGACTTAAAATGGTCCACACACACAGTCGTGAAGTAGGCACGACAGCCTCTTCCCCCTCAGTAGGTTGAGAAGATAGCATATGCCCTCAAATCCTCAAAAAGTTATACAACCGCACCATTGAGAGCATCTTGATTGGCTGCATCACCACTTGGTATGGCAACTGCACCGCCCTCGATCTCATGGCGCTACAGAGGATGGAGCAGACAGCCCAGTACATCACTGGGGCTGAGCTCCATGCCATCCAGGACCTCTATCCCAGGTGGTGTTAAAGACTCCAGCCATCCAAGCCATAGACTTCTCTGCTACCGCACTGCAAGCGGTACTGGAGCAACAGGTCTGACACCAATAGGCTCCTCAACAGCTTCCATAAGCCATAAGACTGCTAAAGAGATACCAAGAAGGCTACACAGACTATCTATCTATCTACCTCACAGGACTCTACACACTCCCAACACACACACATCCTGATGCCTAGTCACCTTACCCCTAGAAATACCACTCCAGTATCCCTGCACATTGGAAATATGGTATTGGCACTGACCCTGGATATACAGTAGATTACTTACTTTCTCCTGTTATTCATATTTCTATTTCTCTACTTTATTTTAGTATAATATTTTTTACTACTGATATTGATTACTGCAATGTTGGGAAAGAGCTTGCAAGAAAGGCATTTCACTGTACTTGTGCACGTGACAATAAAATGTACAACTCAGCCCTGTACCCCTCACCATTGTGATTGGGTCCAAAGGAATTGGTAGGAGGTGCACTACTCACTGTTGCTGTGCAGCTTTCAGCTGCTCCACAGCCTCGTCATAGCCCAGGGTCACCTTCTTCTCCAGCAGCTTGCGGTGGTTCTCCACAGACTCCATCTCAGCAGACCACTTCTGCTCCTCATGGGCAATGTCCTACACACACACACCATGGAGAGAGGGAAGTCATTTTTGTATTTGATTTAATTGACAAATTATTAAACCGCGGATGTGGATACAATGCAGTTAAAATAATTGAGGATAACAAGAAAAGTTGTTTCCATTGTGGTCCTCATAAGATAATGAGCTCTCTAAGAAAACCTTTGATGGACCAATGATGACACCAATGATTCATTTTGACAGCACTTTCTTACCAATAAATGACTAGCCTGTGTGTAACAATATTTCAGAGGGGTTTCTGTATACAATAACCAAACATTTGTATTATTGAAAGTCTAACACTCACCTGTATGTCTTGTTCGAGCTGCTCGTCGAGCCTGCGGATTTGCTCTCTGAGTTGTTTCAAGTCATTTGCTTTTTCGGAAATATTGGAATTCACCTGAAAGAGAAAGAGTCCATGTTAAAAAGCACCCCAAAAATGGGACAAAACCTTATAAGAAACACACTGAAATGACTCGGTACCTGTTCTATTGACTCCTCCAGGCTTAGTTTCATGTCTGTCAGTCGACTACACTCCTCTTCCACATCAGTGATCAGTTTCCTCAGTGGTTGCTGTAGAGAACAAGCCACAGAATGAGTCCAAATACGACACACACCTGTGGTAATAAAGCGATTGTTCGATGAGAACTAAATCGGCATACTTGAATCTGAGTTCTGCATTGAACCATGGTGGACGGTCCATATTCTGTGGAGGTCCTGATCTCAAAGTCGTGGCCGCACGCGTTTTCAGCAGACACAGGGATGAGCTTCAGTTTGCGGGCAAGCTTGTGGTACTCGGCTAGCTTCACTTCGGCCTAAAACAGAGGGAGATTTTTCCCCCCAGTCATAGCTCTTTTCATTAGCAGTGGTTTAGACTGAGAAGACAGTTTCAGCACAGGCTCATAGCTAGCTAGTCATTTAAAAAATACTTATCGAACCTTATTTATGTCACATTTATACATATGATTTAACCTTTATTTAGTCAACAGATGACTATAGAATGCAGTCGTATCAGGCCAGCATCCTATTCTCTTACCGTCTCTTTGACCTTGGCCAGAGTGATCTCCTCGTTCCACATGTGCTGCTCGGCCTGCTCCAGGCTCTTGCTCAGGCTGTTGATGGTCTGCTGCAGTTCCCTCTTCTCCCAGTTGATCCTGTCAATGTCTGCGGGGGTGAACTTCTGGGTGGACAAGATGTGTTGGAGCCGGGACTCCTCCTGTTTTAGGGTCTCCACCTGCAGTCCTACACAGGACAAAAAAGGGCAGTGTGGGTTATGTTAACATTTCAACATTTCCAGGAGAGCAGTAATTTTAAAATGTATATTTTAAGGGATTTTCAGATTTCATTTGAACAGATAGTATGAGAGGATGACAGTGGGGACAGATAGAGATGTTGTGTCAAATGGTAGTAGACCACATATGCAGACACTGTAGAAAGAGAAATTAGTCCTGAAGGTCGCAGCATTACCGCTAGCCCAGCCACGTCACGAGAGTAGCAATGATTGGTCTTGGAAATGTTGTTTTACCTGATGATTCCAGCTCCTCGGCCAATCCAGAGGCTTTGTTCTCCAGGTTGGCTTTGAAAGACTCCAGGTTACTTCGATAACTCTGCAGCTTCTGCAGGTCTGTCTGAAGTTTGACTTTCTCTGTTCTTTTGACCATCAATCGGTCCTGCTCGAAAGGGAATAAAATGGTTACAAAATATAGTGAACCAAACGGCTCCGTTCAAACGTAATTGGCACTCTCACGACTCATCAACTGCTTAAACTAGGTGAGGCGTGTTCAATAATCAGCGCAGTAAATGGACAAATCTGTGAATACAATGCATTCGGAAAGTATTCAGACCCCTTAACCTTTTCCATATTTTGTTACGTATTAAATATTTTTTTTCTCCTCAATACCCCATAATGACAACGAGAAAAGCGTTTTTTTTATATACATTTTTGCACATTTATTAAATATAAAAAACAGAAATACCTTATTTACATAAGTATTCACACACTTTGCTATGAGACTCGAAATTGAGCTCAGGTGCATCCTGTTTCCATTGATCATCCTTGAGATGTTTCTACCCCTTGATTAGAGTCCACCTGTGGTAAATTAAATTGATTGGACATGATTTGGAAAGGCACACACCTGTCAATATAAGGTCCCACAGTTGACAGTGCATGTCAGGGCAAAAACCAAGCCATGAGGTTGAAGGAATTGTCTATAGAGCTCCGAGACAGGATTGTGTTGAGGCACAGACCTGGGGAAGGGTACCAAAAAATGTCTGCAGCATTGAAGGTCCCCAAGAACACAGTAGCCTCCATCATTCTTAAATGGAAGAAGGTTGGAACCACCAAATCAAATCACATTTTATTTGTCACATACACGTGTTTAGCAGTTGTTATTGCGGGTGTAGCGAAATGCTTGTGCTTCTAGCTCTGACAGTGCAGTAATATCTAACAAGTAATATCTAGCAATTTCACAACATATACCCAATACACACAAATCTAAGTAAGGAATTTAAGAATATATACATATGGACAAGCAATGACAGAGCGGCATATACTAAGATACAGTAGAATATTATAGAATACAGTATATACACATATGAGATGAGTAGTGCAAGATATGTAAACATTATTAAAGTGACTAGTGTTCCATTTCTTAAAGTGGCCAGTATTTCAATAGGCAGCAGCAGCCTCTAATGTGCTAGTGATGGCTATTTAACAGTGATGGCCTTGAGATAGAAGCTGTTTTTCATTCTCTCGGTCCTAGCTTTGATGCACCTGTACTGACCTCGCCTTCTGGATGATAGCGGGGTGAACAGGCAGTGGCTCGGGTGGTTGATGTCCTTGATCTTTTTGGCATTCCTGTGACATCGGTTGCTGTAGGTGTCCTGGAGGGCGGGTAGTTTGCCCCCAGTGATGCGTTGGGCAGACCACACCACCCTCTGGAGAGCCCTGCGGTTGCGGGCGGTGCAGTTGCCGTACCAGGCGGTGATACAGCCCGACAGGATGCTCTCAATCTTGCATCTGTAAAAGTTTGTGAGGGTTTTAGGTGCCAAGCCTCCTGAGGTTGAAGAGGCTCTGTTGCGCCTTCAACACACTGTCTGCGTGGGTGGATAATTTCAGGTTGTCAGTGGTGTACACCAAGGAACTTGAAGCTTTCCACCTTCTCCACTGCGGTCCCGTCGATGTGGATAGGGGGGGTGCACCCTCTGCTGTTTCCTGATCATCTCCTTTGTTTTGTTGATGTTGAGTGAGAGGTTATTTTCCTGGCACCACACTCCCAGAGCCCTCACCTCCTCCCTGTAGGCGGTCCGTCATTGTTGGTAATCAAGCCTACTACTGTTGTGTCGTCTGCAAACTTGATGATTGAGTTGGAGGCGTGCTTGGCCACGCAGTCATGGGTGAACAGGGAGTACAGGAGGGGGCTGAGCATGCACCCTTGTGGGGCCCCAGTGTTGAGGATCAGCGAAGTGGAGATGTTGTTTCCTACCTTCACCACCTGGGGGCGGCCCGTCAGGAAGTCCAGGACCCAGTTGCACAGGGCGGGGTTCAGACCCAGGGCCTCAAGCTTAATGATGAGCTTGGAGGGTACTATGGTGTTGAATGCTGAGCTATAGTCAATGAAAAGCATTCTTAAATAGGTATTCCTCTTGTCCAGATGGGATATGGCAGTGTGCAGTGTGATGGCGATTGCATCGTCTGAGGATCTATTGGGGCGGTAAGAAAATTGAAGTGGGTCTAGGGTGACAGGTAAGGTAGAGGTGATATGATCCTTGACTAGTCTCTCAAAGCACTTCATGATGACAGAGGTGAGTGCTACGGGCCGTCTGGGCCGGCACGGTGTTATCCTCAAAGCGGGCGAAGAAAGTGTTTAGCTTGTCTGGAAGCGAGACATCGGTGTTGGCGACGTGGCTGGTTTTCCTTTTGTAGTCCGTGATTGTCTGTAGACCCTGCCACATACATCTCGTCTGAGCCATTGAATTGCGACTCCACTTTGTCTCTATACTGATGTTTTGCCAGTTTAATTGCCTTGCGGAGTGAGTAGCTACACTGTTTGTATTCTGCCATATTCCCAGTCAACTTGCCATGGTTAAATGCAGTGGTTCGCGCTTTCAGTTTTGCTCGAATGCTGCCATCTATCCACGGTTTCTGGTTAGGGTAGGTTTTAATAGTTATAGTGGGCACAACATCTCCTATACACTTCCTGATAAACTCAGTCACCATTTCAGTGTATTCGTCTACCGTCGTGGTATCGGCTTGAGGGGGGATATACACGGCCGTGACTATAACCATAGAAAATTATCTTGGGAGATAATACGGTCTGCATTTGATTGGGAGGTATTCAAGGTCGATTGAACAAAAGGACTTGATTTCCTTTATGTTACTACAATTACACCATGAGTCGTTAATCATGAAACACACACCTCCGCCCTTCTGCTTCCCGGAGAGATATTTATATCTGGCTGGACCGATTTCGACAGAATATCCCCAGAGAGCCATGTTTCCGTGAAACAAAGTATGTTACAGGCCCTGATGTCTCTCTGGAAAGAAATCCTTGAGCTCTGAGCTCGTAGACTTTGTTATCCAAAGACTGAACATTAGCGAGTAGTATACTTGGAAGCGGTGGATGGTGTGCGCGCCTCCTAAGTCGAACAAGCGGGCCGCTCCGAGTGCCTCTCCTCCGCCGGCAATGTTTTGGGTCAGCCGCTGGAATCAGTTCAATTGCCCTGGGGAGAGCAAACAAAGGATCTGCTTCGGGAAAGTCGTATTCCTGGTCGTAATGCTGGTGAGTTACCGCCGCTCTGATATCCAATCGTTTTTCCCGGCTGAATGTAATGCTACAAAACACTTTGAGCTAATAATGTAAAAAATAATACATAAAAAACCAAAATACCGCAAAGTTTCCTAAGAGCTACTCGCGAGGCCGCCATCTTCGTCAGCGCCACGTCTATAGAGCCGTCCGCCCGGCCAAACTGAGCGATCGGGGGAGAAGGGCCTTGGTCAGGGAGGTGACCAAGGACCCGACGGTCACTCTGACAGAGCTCCAGAGTTCCTCTGTGGAGTTGGGACAACCTTCCAGAAGGACAATCATCTCTGCAGCACTCCACCAATCAGGCCTTTGTGGTAGACAGAAGCCACTCCTCAGTAAAAGGCACATGACAGCCCGCTTGGAGTTTGTCAAAAGGCACCTAAAAGGACTCTCAGACCATGAGAAACAAGATTCTCTGGTCTGATGAAACCAAGATTGAAATCTTTGGCCTGAATGCCAAGCGCTACATCGGCGGCAGGTAGCTTAGTAGGTAAGAGCGTTGTGCCAGTAACCGAAAGGTCTGTACAGCTATGCTCCCCATCCAACCTGACAGAGCTTGAAGAGATCTGCAGAGAAGAATGGGAGAACCTCCCCAAATACAGGTGTGCCGAGTTTGTAGCGTCATACCCAGTGCTTAATTTGAGACGGATCCTGTCACCTCTCAGATTTGACTTTGTTTGTTCCGGCACCTATTTGTCCAGATCCGGTACCTCTCGCGGCATGATTTATTCATTATTTCACTGTTAGCACTGTAGACATTCTAATAAAAGTGGTCAGCATTAAATCAAGTTGCCTCCTCGTTATTTCTCCCACCCCCCCAGAAAGGTGATAATGTAAAAGCGCGGTGATCCTTCTATGTAATAATCCTATCCTGCCACACTGATTCCAGACCTGCTCTCTTATTTGTACATAGAGGCTATGGGGAGGGCCAGTGGGGTAAGTAACTGATCTTGACACAGGTCTAGGTAGTTGTGGTCAGCTAGTGAAGAGGTCCCTACGTAATCACGTCATGTAGGCTAGTCTAGTCGTCTCCCTACTGAATTTGATTCGTGGGAAGATAACTTTCACTGCCGGAGGAGAGGAATGAGGGCCAAACTGTTCCTGATGGTGATGCTAATCCCGCCAGTTCAGCATCACCACCCGCACCTCCACTAGCTAGCAGGCCTACTAGCGAGTCACACTCAGCGGGAGACAGGGAGCTGGGGGGAGGGGGACAGTGCACCCACCGACAAAGTGCTCGGAGCAGGTGCAATTTGCAGTTGAAGAACAAGCAAACGTATAACCCCTGTCTTGTCATGCAGAATTCAAAGTTGGGCTGTACAACATGCAAAAAGGGAGCTTGGGTCTAGAAACGACTGGAGGGATAAAACTAGCAAAAGAGGGGGTGGAATGTACAGTAAATTAACATCCTATGCACCAGGCGAAAAAATAAAAAACTAAGAGCTCTCAGAAAAAAGGGTTTTGAACATGCCTAAACCAAGGCGCATTTGGTGGCAGCAAGCCTCGTAGACAAGGCTAAAGAGGACACCCAGGTTAACACTCAAAATAAAAATAGACTATACAGCTGGAGTCTTCAGAACAGCCTTAGAAGGAGGCTAAACATCACAGCCACAGGCCCGCTCATGGCTTGGAGCAAGAAGTTGACTCTCAGGAGTTAAATGGACTTGACAAGGGGAGAGTCATTGTGGGAGGTTTTGAAAACTAAAGGTAGGACATTTATTTCCTTTGCCTTCACAGCACAAGTTTGTAATCTGAATATGTGCTTCATATTATCACATAGGCAGGAGGCCTATATATTCTCATACGTGTGTTCTGCTGTAGCCTACATTGATTTATTTTATTTGAAGTTATATTCCTGTATTGTGATATTTGTTCTACTGCTACATTGACGTCTTGAAAAGTATATGAAATTCGGGTCTTGTAAGCCCCACAGCTGAGTATGTGTGCATATGGCGGGTGTTCTGCAGTGTTGTCTAAAAATGTTGCTGTACATTGATGTCTAGAAAATTAGGCTATGAGAAAGTCGGACTTGTGTAAGCCCCGCACAAGTACAGTTGAAGTCGGAAGTTTACATACACCTTAGCCAAATACATTCAAACTCAGTTTTCTACAATTCCTGACATTTAATCCTAGTAAAAATTCCCTGTCTTAGGTCAGGTAGGATCATCACTTTATTTTAAGAATGTGGGCATATTGCAATGACGTCTAAAAGGCTTTGAGTTAATCAGCAGCTTGGAGAGTGCTGTGTTTCACCACCATTGATAGTAGGCTACTTGGCTGCTACGTTGTGTTTGACACTTTTTTCTCTCAATGTGTTCCGGTACGTCAGAGTAAATTTTCCAACAATTGTTTACAGACAGATTACTTCACTGTATCACAATTCCAGTGGGTCAGAAGTTTACATACACCAAGTTGACTGTGACTTTAAACAGCTTGGAATATTCCAGAAAATGATGTCATGGCTTTAGAAGCTTCTGATAGGCTAATTTACATATTTTGAGTCAATTGGAGGTGTACCTGTGGATGTATTTCAAGGCCTACCTTCAAACTCAGTGCCTCTTTACTTGACATCATGGGAAAATCAAATGAAATCAGCCAAGACCTCAGAAAAAATATTGTAGACCTCCACAAGTCTGGTTCATCCTTGGGAGCAATTTCCAAATGCCTGAAGGTATCACGTTCATCTGTACAAACAATAGTACGCAAGTATAAACACCATGGGACAATGCAGCCGTCATACCGCTCAGGAAGGAGACGCGTTCTGTCTCTTAGAGATTAACGTACTTCGGTGCGAAAAGTGCAAATCAACCCCAGAACAACAGCAAAGGACCTTGTGAAGATGCTGGAGGAAACAGGTACAAAAGTATCTATATCCACAGTAAAACGAGTCCTATGTCGACATAACCTGAAAGGCCGCTCAGCAAGGAAGAAGCTACTGCTCCAAAACCGCCATAAAAAACCCAGACTACGGTTTGCAACTGCATATGGGGACAAAGATCGTACTTTTTGGAGAAATGTCCTCCGGTCTGATGAAACAAAAATAGAACTGTTTGGCCATTATGACCATCGTTATTTTTGGAGGAAAAGGGGGAACGCTTGCAAGCCGAAGAACACCATCCCAACCGTGAAGCACGAGGGTGGCAGCATCATGCTGTGGGGGTGCTTTGCTGCAGAAGGGACTGGTGCACTTCACAAAATAGATGGCATCATGAGGAAGGAAAATTATGTGGATATATTGAAGCAACATCTCAAGGACATCAGTCAGGAAGTTAAAGCTTGGTCGCAAATGGGTCTTCCAAATGGACAATGACCCCAAGCATACTTCCAAAGTTGTGGCAAAATGGCTTAAGGACAACAAAGTCAAGGTATTGGAGTGGCCATCACAAAGCCCTGACCTCAATCCTATAGAAAATTTGTGGGCAGAACTGAAAAAGTGTGTGCGAGCAAGGAGGCCTACAAACCTGACTCAGTTACACCAGATCTGTCAGGAGGAATGGGCCAAAATTCACCCAACTTATTGTGGGAAGCTTGTGGAAGGCTACCCGAAACCTTTGACCCAAGTTAAACAATTTAAAGGCAATGCTACCAAATACTAATTGAGTGTATGTAAACTTCTGACCCACTGGGAATGTGATGAAATAAATAAAAGCCGAAATAAATCACTCTACTATTATTCTGACATTTCACATTCTTAAAATAAAGTGATGATCCTAACTGACCTAAGACAGGGAATTTTTACTAGGATTAAATGTCAGGAATTATGTAAAACTGAGTTTAAATGTGTTTGGCTAAGGTGTATGTAAACTTCCGACTTCAACTGTATGTAAGAATGCTGTTCATTGACTATAGCTCAGCATTCAACACCATAGTACCCTCCAAGCTCATCATTAAGCTCGAGGCCCTGGGTCTGAACCCCGCCCTGTGCAACTGGGTCCTGGACTTCCTGACGGGCCGCCCCCAGCTGGTGAAGGTAGGAAACAACATCTCCACTTCGCTGATCCTCAACACTGGGGCCCCACAAGGGTGCATGCTCAGCCCCCTCCTGTACACCCTGTTCACCCATGACTGCGTGGCCAAGCACGCCTCCAACTCAATCATCAAGTTTGCACACGACACAACAGTAGTAGGCTTGATTACCAACAATGACGGACCGCCTACAGGGATGAGGTGAGGGCTCTGGGAGTTTGGTGCCAGGAAAATAACCTTTCACTCAACGTCAACATAACAAAGGAGATGATCGTGGACTTCAGGAAACAGCAGAGGGTGCACCCCCCTATCCACATCGACGGGACCGCAGTGGAGAAGGTGAAAAGCGTCAAGTTCCTTGGCATACACATCAATGTTTGATTTGATTTGAAAATAGCTGTGCAGCGACGCTCCCCATCCAACCTAACAGAGCTTGAGTGGATCTCCAGAGAAGAATGGGAGAATTTCCCCAAATACAGGTGTGCCAAGATTGTAGCGTCATACCCAAGAAGACTCGAGGCTGTAATCACTGCCAAACGTGCATCAACAAAGTACTGAGTAAAGGGTCTGAATACTTACATAAATGTGATATTTCAGTTTATTTGTAATAAATGTGCTAAAATTTATAAAAACCTGTTTGCTTTGTCATTATGGGGTACTGTGTGTAGATTGATAAGGAAAAAAACTATTTAATCTATTTTAGAAGAAGGCTGTAACGTAATAAAATGTGGAAAAAGTCAAGTGGTCTGAATCTTTTCCGAATTCACTGTATATATAGTCCTTAGATTCAAAGGACTAACCGTTTGGCTTTCTTTCTCCAGTCGCTCAACCTCATCACTCAGCATCCTGTACTTCTCCTCCATGGACACGAGAAGCGCTTCGTCAACGTTGTAAAGTCTCTCTGTAGAAATAAGTTGCCGTTCATGCGCTTGTTATATGGTTATTTGTATATGTTCATTTGGAAGGAAAAGGCACAACTCACAATTAAAAACAATGAGAAATAATGACTTTGTCGTCACTGCTTACTTAGTTTAGCAAGATACTCTGCATCCTCTTCTTCAAATGTATCCGCTCCTTGCATGAACTTATTGTAGGTTTCAGCAGTGTAGTCCAGAAAGAGCTAGAAACGGAGGGGAAAGTGCAGGATCAAATAGAGGCCTAACATCCTAAATTGTTTTGTTGTGAGTAAATTGGCTCTGTACCTTGTTGAACTCAACCCCCTCCTCAATCTCGGTGCTTCCGTCAGAGAAATCAGCAAAGAGCAGGTCCTGTTCACTCATACAGCAAAAGATCTGTAAAACAATAACCAGAACAAATTCAAGGAAACATTCAGTATTATACAGAGCCATGGTTGCATGGAACTCCCTTCCATCTCATACAGCGCAAGTGAACAACAAACCTGGTTTCAAAAAACAAATAAAATCACAGCACAACGCCTCTCCCCCATGTGACCTACCTTTGTGTGTATGTACTGACATGTACAGTGGGGAGAACAAGTATTTGATATACTGCCGATTTTGCAGGTTTTCCTACTTACAAAGCATGTAGAGGTCTGTAATTTTTATCATAGGTACACTTCAACTGTGAGAGATGGAATCTAAAACAAAAATCCAGAAAATCACATTGTATGATTTAAGTAATTAATTTGCATTTTATTGCATGACATAAGTATTTGATCACCTACCAACCAGTAAGAATTCCAGCTCTCACAGACCTGTTCTCCACTCATTACCTGTATTAACTGCACCTGTTTGAACTTGTTACCTGTATAAAAGACACCTGTCCACACACTCAATCAAACAGACTCCAACCTCTCCACAATGGCCAAGACCAGAAAGCTGTGTAAGGACATCAGGGATAAAATTGTAGAACTGCACAAGGCTGGGATGGGCTAAAGGACAATAGGCAAGCAGCTTGGTGAGAAGGCATCAAACTGTTGGCGCAATTATTAGAAAATGGAAGAAGTTCAAGTTGACGGTCAATCACCCTCAGTCTGGGGCTCCATGCAAGATCTCACCTCGTGGGGCATCAATGATCATGAGGAAGGTGAGGGATCAGCCCAGAACTACACGGCAGGACCTGGTCAATGACCTGAAGAGAGCTGGGACCACAGTCTCAAAGAAAACCATTAGTAACACACTACGCCGTCATGGATTAAAATCCTGCAGCGCACGCAAAGTCCCCCTGCTCAAGCCAGCGCATGTCCAGGCCCGTCTGAAGTTTGCCAATGACCATCTGGATGATCCAGAGGAGGAATGGGAGAAGGTCATGTGGTCTGATGAGACAAAAATAGAGCTTTTTGGTCTAAACTCCACTCTCCATGTTTGGAGGAAGAAGAAGGATGAGTACAACCCCAAGAACGCCATCCCAACCGTGAAGCATGGAAGTGGAAACATCATTCTTTGGGGATGCTTTTCTGCAAAGGGGACAGGACGACTGCACCGTATTGAGGGGAGGATGGATGGGGCCATGTATCGCGAGATCTTGGCCAACAACCTCCTTCCCTCAGTAAGAGCATTGAAGATGGGTCGTGGCTGGGTCTTCCAGCATGACAACGACCTGAAACACACAGCCAGGGCAACTAAGGAGTGGCTCCGTAAGAAGCATCTCAAGGTCCTGGAGTGGCCTAGCCAGTCTCCAGACCTGAACCCAATAGAACATCTTTGGAGGGAGCTGAAAGTCCGTATTGCCCAGCGACAGCCCCGAAACCTGAAGGATCTGGAGAAGGTCTGTATGGAGGAGTGGGTCAATATCCCTGCTGCAGTGTGTGCAAACCTGATCAAGACCTACAGGAAACGTATGATCTCTGTAATTGCAAACAAAGGTTTCTGTACCAAATATTAAGTTCTGCTTTTCTGATGTATCAAATACTTATGTCATGCAATAAAATGAAAAAATTAATTACTTAAAAATCATACAATGTGATTTTCTGGATTTTTGTTTTAGATTCTGTCTCTCACAGTTGAAGTGTACCTATTATAAAAATTACAGACCTCTACATGCTTTGTAAGTAGGAAAACCTGCAAAATCGGCAGAGTATCAAATACTTGTTCTTCCCACTGTATGTGTAACTGATAGATGCACACACATGTTAATGTTTTTAAATGTATGTAAATTGTAAAGTATTTTGTTATGTCGAAGCCCAGTAAGACTAGCGGTCGCCATGGCTGTCGACTAATGGAAATCATTATTCAAACCTTCATGTAGACAGGTAAGGTTATTAATGAGTTTAGAGATTAGGTAGGATTCTGCTGTACTAATACCCACCTTCACAGTATCGATGAGCCAGACAACAGCCCCCAAGACCTGTGGCCAGGTATGTGGTGCCCCAACAGAGTACATGGAACTTTTGGAGAGCGCAAATGGATACCTGCAATCAGAAATATACAGTCAGTATACTAGAACGAGGAACGGGCCAGCGTGCAAAAACAAGATGCAAACAGCAAATGATCATATCTGTGTCCCAAATAGCACCCTCTTCTCTATATAGTGCACTACTTTGGGCCAGGGCCCATAGGGATGCCATTTGGGACACAGACCATTTTTAACATGTATGGCAGAATGAGCTCATTTACCCCAAGTCTTTGAGAATCCTGGGGACCTCCTCCTCCACTTTGGAGGTGGGCATCTGGAAGGTGGGGTCCAGGAGGCAGTAGATGAACTCAAAGATCTTTAGGAACTCCTTGGTGGAGGGCGACTGGAGAGACTTGACCGACATTGAACCTGGAAAGCCCTTCTCTGACAGAAACTGGAGGAGAACAAGGGAAATGGCCGTACAAAGTGTCTAGTGATCTAGGACCAGACCCCCCCCCCCGTTCATATAATCTAATTCATGAGGATGTAAAAGTGACAAAACTGATCCTAGATCAGAACTCCTAATCCGAGATGCTTTATAAATATTGGGCCCGGTCTTGAAAGACTTAAAAGTTCAGTGAGATTCTGTTTTAAAAACCTGTGTCTATTAGGAGTCCATCTATACCTCACACAACTGTCTGATGCACTGCTGAACATAGGCCTTATCGTGTAAGGGCCGGGGATCCTTCATCTTCTCTGCACCTCCAAAGGCTCCAAAGGTGCTGTTGCGAGCCATGCCAGCCCCACTGGTCCTGAAAGGAGTTCATCAGCATTTATGGTACTACTTAAGCCTTGTTCACATTGGGAGTTTGAAGTGACTCAAAAACTATTTTTTTGCATATCTGATTAGAATCTGTTATTTTTCCTGCAGTCTGAACAGCCAAAAAGCACATGGATTTAGAAATTTCAAGCCACAAATATGATTCCTGACCATGCGACTTGTCTGAACGGTCAAATCATCTGATTTGTTTGCCATCAAGTGGTTTTTAGAGACTGTTATTTGGCATATCTTGTTATTTATAAAAATGTGCACTGTTGGGAGTACTCGAGGACTGGAGTTGGGAACCACCGATTTAGAGCATTTAGCCTTTGCTGTGTGTAAAATGACTGGCAGTGTGAAATGGCTCCCAATCATATAGTTTCACTAACAGGAATAGTCTTTGTCTGGCATGGTGACAGTGATAGAGAACTAGGTGTTTAACAGTCTTTTCTTCAGTGCAGGGACCTTACCGACTACCAAAAAAGCTGGTTCTTCTCTCGGATGTCACTGACTGGGGTTTAGGAATGTTCAACTTTCCGAAGGATGGTTGTTTGCTGGGAACAAATATTGATATGGTCATTGTAATAGCAAATACATATCCGATATTTATGACAGGCTGTTAAAGCAACTTCCATTTATGTTCGTTTGCCAACTTACCTCTGTGGTGTTGCATAAACCATGCTCATTCTGTTGCTTTCAACTCTTTGAGGGAGCTCAGAGAGCCTACTGCTGGATGCTCGGCTCATCCTGGATCTGGTGAAAGAGAATGAATAAAAGACATAGCCAGCTACATACATGTAGGCTATACATGGATAGCCAGGCCAGTTAATGTTCAAATAGTCTAGCAAATGTTCCCCAACTTGTATACCAGCCAGCTCACTGCAAATGTCTTCACATGAACAATGAAAGATGTGCGTACTAACAGGAAGTGGGGCGGACCACCACTAACTAGGGTGACCACATGTCCCTCATTTTGGCCCTTTGTCCCCCAACCAAACAATCATGTCCTATTCATATCCTGAAAGAAAAAGATCTCACTACAATGAATGTTAAAAGAAAGTTAGCAAAAATAGATAAGTTAGTCATAGTCAATCGATTAATAATATAACAATACTCTTATTAAAAATGTTCCTTTAATTTACAATCTGTAGACACTATGAGAATAGAAAGGTTCAGAACCTTTGTGAAACATCACAGTACAATAGAAATTGGATCGTGTGGTTCAGAGATAAATGGGAAGGGGTGAGTGGAGCTGAAGGGTGGGACTAAAAATTACAAGGTAACTAATGAAAAATATACTGTGTCCGTAAAATGTATTAGGGCTGACCCCATTTAGTCGACTGGTCGATTGATTGGTCGACAGATTTTTTTAGTCCAGCAGTGGCAAATATATATTTTTAAAAAATGTTATGGAACACAAGACACCTGTCTGATTCACGCCTGTCTGAGTGGACCAATCCATTGTGGAGGCCGCCTGATTAACTCTTTAGTTACAGTGAGGGAAAAAAGTATTTGATCCCCTGCTGATTTTGTACGTTTGCCCACTGACAAATAAATTATCAGTCTATAATTTTAATGGTAGGTTTATTTGAACAGTGAGAGACAGAATAACAACAACAAAATCCAGAAAAACGCATGTCAAAAATGTTATAAATTGATTTGCATTTTAATGAGGGAAATAAGTATTTGACCCCCTCTCAATCAGAAAGATTTCTGGCTCCCAGGTGTCTTTTATACAGGTAACGAGCTGAGATTAGGAGCACACTCTTAAAGGGAGTGCTCCTAATCTCAGTTTGTTACCTGTGTAAAAGACACCTGTCCACAGAAGCAATCAATCAATCAGATTCCAAACTCTCCATCATGGCCAAGACCAAAGAGCTCTCCAAGGATGTCAGGGAGAAGATTGTAGACCTACACAAGGCTGGAATGGGCTACAAGACCATCGCCAAGCAGCTTGGTGAGAAGGTGACAACAGTTGGTGCGATTATTCGCAAATGGAAGAAACACAAAATAACTGTCAATCTCCCTCGGCCTGGGGCTCCATGCAAGATCTCACCTCGTGGAGTTGCAATGATCATGAGAACGGTGAGGAATCAGCGCAGAACTACACGGTAGGATCTTGTCAATGATCTCAAGGCAGCTGGGACCATAGTCACCAAGAAAACAATTAGTAACACACTACGCCGTGAAGGAGTGAAATCCTGCAGCGCCCGCAAGGTCCCCCTGCTCAAGAAAGCACATATACAGGCCCGTCTGAAGTTTGCCAATGAACATCTGAATGATTCAGAGGAGAACTGGGTGAAAGTCTTGTGGTCAGATGAGACCAAAATCGAGCTCTTTGGCATCAACTCAACTCGCCGTGTTTGGAGGAGGAGGAATGCTGCCTATGACCCCAAGAACACCATCCCCACCGTCAAACATGGAGGTGGAAATATTATGCTTTGGGGGTGTTTTTCTGCTAAGGGGACAGGACAACTTCACCGCATCAAAGGGACGATGGATGGGGCCATGTACCGTCAAATCTTGGGTGAGAACCTCCTTTCCTCAGCCAGGGCATTGACAATGGGTAGTGGATGGGAATTCCAGCATGACAATGACCCAAAACACACGTCCAAGGTAACAAAGGAGTGGCTCAAGAAGAAGCACATTAAGGTCCTGGAGTGGCCTAGCCAGTCTCCAGACCTTAATCCCATAGAAAATCTGTGGAGGGAGCTTTTTTATTTATTTTTTATTTCACCTTTATTTAACCAGGTAAACCAGTTGAGAACAAGTTCTCATTTACAACTGCGACCTGGCCAAGATAAAGCAAAGCAGTGCGATAAAAACAACAGAGTTACATATGGGGTAAAACAAAACAAAGTCAAAAATACAACAGAAATACATATATATACAGTGTGTGCAAATGTAGCAAGTTATGGAGGTAAGGCAATAAATAGGCTATAGTGCAAAATAATTACAATTAGTATTAACACTGGAAAGATAGATGTGCAAGAGATGATGTGCAAATAGAGATACTGGGGTACAAATGAGCAAAAATAAATAACAATATAGGGATGTGGTAGTTGGGCGGGCTAATTTCAGATGGGCTGTGTACAGGTGCAGTGATCGGTAAGGTGCTCTGACAACTGATGCTTAAAGTTAGTGAGGGAGATAAGTGTCTCCAGCTTCAGAGATTTTTGCAATTTGTTCCAGTCAAGTCCGCCAGCTGAAGGTTCGAGTTGCCAAACGTCAGCCTCGAAACCTTAATGACTTGGAGAAGATCTGCAAAGAGGAGTGGGAAAATCCCTCTTGAGATGTGTGCAAACCTGGTGGCCAACTACAACAAACGTCTGACCTCTGTGATTGCCAACAAGGGTTTTGCCACCAAGTACTAAGTCATGTTTTGCAGAGGGGTCAAATACTTATTTCCCTCATTAAAATGCAAATCAATTTATAACATTTTTGACATGTGTTTTTCTGGATTTTGTTGTTGTTATTCTGTCTCTCACTGTTCAAATAATCCTACCATAAAAATTATAGACTGATCATTTTTTGTCAGTGGGCAAACGTACAAAATCAGCAGGGGATCAAATACTTTTTTCCCTCACTGTATATCCCCGTTTACCTATTTGCTTATGGCTTTGCCTACACCTAGCGAGTAGCGACGTGTTAAAAAACAACAACATATGAGCAAAAAATATTCAATTTTATTTGGAACGGCAAGCCAGACAAAATTAAAACACACAATTCAGTCCCCTTGACTTTTTCCACATTTTGTTACGTTACAGCCTTATTCTAAAATGGATTAAATAAAAAAATGTCCTCAGCAATCTACACACAATACCCCATAATGACAAAGCGAAAACAGTTTATTTTATTTTAGCAAATGTATTAAAAATACAAAACCAAGCCATAAGGTCGAAGGAATTGTCTATAGAGCTCCGAGACAGGATTGTGGCATTTCTGCAGCATTGAAGGTCCCCAAAAACACAGTGGCCTCCATCACTCTTAAATGGAACAAGTTTGGAACCACCAAGACTCTTCCTAGAGCTGGCCGCCCGGCCAAACTGAGCAATCGGGGGAGAAGGGCCTTGGTCAGGGAGGTGACCAAGAACCCGATAGTCACTCTGACAGAGCTCTAGAGTTCGCTGTGGAGATGGGAGAACCTTCCAGAAGGACAACCATCTCTGCAGCACTCCACCAATCAGGCCTTTAAGGTAGAGTGGCCAGACGGAAGCCACTCCTCAGTAAAAGGCACATGACAGCCCGCTTGGAGTTTGCCAAAAGTCACCTAAAGACTCTGATAATGAGAAACAAGATTCTCTGGTCTGATGAAACCAAGATTGAACTCTTTGGCCTGAATACCAAGCGTCACATCTGGAGGAAACTTGGCACCATCCCTACGGTGAAGCATGGTGGTGGCAGCATCATGCTGTGGGATGTTTTACAGCGGCAGGGACTGGGAGACTAGTCAGGATCGAGGCAAAGATGAACAGAGCAAAGTACAGAGAGATCATTGATGAAAATCTGCTCCAGAGCGCTCAGGACCTCAGACTGGGGCGAAAGTTCACCTTCCAACAGGACAACGACCCTAAGCACACAGCAAAGACAACGCAGGAGTAGCTTCGGGACAAGTCTCTGAATGTCCTTGAGTGGACCAGCCAGAGCCTGGACTTGAACCCGATCAAACATCTCTGGAGGGACCTGAAAATAGCTGTGCAGCGACACTCCCCATCCAACCTGACAGAGCTTGAGAGGATCTGCAGAGAAGAATGGGAGAATCTCCCCAAATACAGGTGTGCCAAGCTTGTAGCGTCATACCCAATAAGACTCAAGGCTGTAATCGCTGCCAAAGGTGCTTCAACAAAGCACTGAGTAAAGGGTCTGAATACTTATGTAAATGTGATTTCAGTTTTTATTTTATAAATGTTATAAACCTGTTTTTGCTTTGTCATTATTGTGTATTGTGTGTAGATTGATTAAAAAATAACTATCATTTTTAGAATAAGGCTGTAATGTAACAAAATGTGGGAAAAGTCAAGGGGTCTGAATACTTTCCGAAGACACTGTATATAGTGAACTAAAATATAAACGCAACATGTAGTGTTGGTCCCATTTTTCATGAGCTGAAATAAAAGACCTGACATTTTCCATACACACAAAGAGCTTGTCTCAAATGTTGTGCACAAATTTGTTTACATCCCTGTTAGTGAGCATTTCTCCTTTGCCAAGATAATCCATCCACCTGACAGGTGTGGCATATCAAGAAGTTGATTAAACAGTATGATCATTACACAGGTGCACCTTGTGCCAGAGACAATAAAAGGCCACTCTAAAATGTGCAGTTTTGTCACAATGCCACAGATGTCTCAAGTTTTGAGGGAGCGTGCAACTGGCATGCTGTCTGCAGGAATGTCCAACAGAGCAGTTGCCAGAGAATGTAATCTTAATTTCTGTACCATGTCGTTTTAGAGAATTTGGCAGTACATCCAACCGGCCTTACAACCGCAGACCACGTGTAACCACGCAAGTCCAGGACCTCCACATCCGGCTTCTTCACCTGCGGGATTGTCTCAGGAGGGGGAGGGGGGGGGTGCTGAGGAGTATTTCTGTCTGTGTGGAACAACTCATTCTGATTGGCTGGGCCTGGCACCCCAGTGGGTGGACCTGGCTCCCAGGTTGGTGGGCCCATGCCCTCCCAGGCCCCCCCATGGCTGCACCCCTGCCCAGTCATGTGAAATCCATAGATTAGGGCTTAATGAATTTATTTCAATTGACTGATTTCCTATGAACTGTAACGCAGTAAAATCGTCGAAATTGTTGCATGTTGCGTTTATATTTTTGTTCAGTATAGTTTGTTAACACCCTCT